TTAATTAAATTTTTTCACAATGATATGGATAGACCTTACATTTCCATTGAATTTAGCATAGCCTTGACTTACCAAAAGATATTCTCATCCAAGCTGGATTGCGGTTTCGACTCCGCCTAAATTGGTCCTATTAAAGCCTCCAACATGACTCGAACCATGATACTACAACATATAATCTTGACACATTAACAACTTCCCCACACTTCCACGAGTGGCCTTGGTAGCAGGGCATATGGGAATTTTAAGGAAGGATATGCATTTTCCCATATTACATTCTGTGGTGGGATTGTCGATGAAGCCTAGTTGTATTTGCTATAGCAATCGAAAGCGAAAGGAAAAGTACTCCAACAATAAAAACGCTTTCTTTTATCACGTATATAGACAAATTTATGTATGATAAGGTTGCTTCCACAAAGCTCTACTGTTTAAACTTCAAAGATTCTACTCAAATTTAGATACTGAGATTGTTGCATATGGCCATACATCCTCTAGCCATTCTGTTATGCCATCACCTCGAAATATTTTCTAATATCCCGAAGTGGTTTCTCTGTCTACAAGGTCAGAAATGAATTAACAGAAATTCTCAAACAACCATTGCCTTTCTTCTCAGCGCCATCGAGGGTCCTGTCAGGACAGCAGCTTCATTTTGTCTAATCTATTCCATTTATCGTGTTGGCTTGTTGAATCGCAAGACTGCGGCCGACGAACCTATGCTCTCCGACCGGAGGCCTTCTTTTTCACACGAGAATGAGGTGACTCCACTTATTGTGGAATCGACATCAGCTCGAAGCAGAGGCATTACATCTTCTCCGACCAGCCATCATCAGTTCCAGGTCATTATTCTGGTCGTCGCTTTTGCTGGGCTAGCGACATCTCAGCTACTGTTTGGACTCGCCTACCTCTTTCCAAAGCCAACATGTGACATCTTAGTTTTCGTCGGTCGGTTTTGATGTTTACTTGTAAATGAAAAGGGCATAATTGTTAAAAAATTATTTCCTCATAGCGATATTAATATACTTCACAATTACATTTATTTTGACTTAGCCTTTTCTCAAAAAAATATTTTAAATAAGGGTCGACTGCAGTCTTAAACTCACATAACATGAGCACCTCTAATGTAAGTCCAACCTTGCTAGTACAGTATATTTCTTCGACATGGCACCATTACGTCACATTGCCATGGGTGGCTGTGGATCAGAGGGCGGAAGAAACCTACTCACACTGATTATAAGTAATGTCGTTTATTGTAAAATCAAACATATTAACAACCCCGCTATAAATGTGATGCTTGGATTGACAAGAGGCAAATATATATTTGCCCTTTCAATTGACGATATTATTCACATTCACTTTTAGTAGATTGCGAAATGATCAGTGTTTTTTGTATAAATACTTTGCAGTCATGGGTCAATCAAGTTGATTTAAGGACCTTCAGCACCTTGTGCAACCTATAGTGACTACTGATAGTCTGAAAACCTACTAAACTGAGTACAAAGGATACACACCTCAATGGGGTCATGATCTGAACAGTTTGAGGAATAGCATTGTCAGTAAGGCCCTATTCTTATAAAATGACTACAAGATGTATAATCATGTTTACAACATTTTCAATGGTGACCAAACTTATGCTGATTTATTTGCCTTTCTATTTAGCAATTGCATTCCGCACTCTTAAGAATGTCTGTCCACCTATTATGCGCTCGATGATGTCACTACAGGTCGTGGCAGAGAAGCAAGGCAAGTTTTATTTTTCACTCTTTTAACTGCGATTCTGGTGGGACAACCGAAACTTTACTAACATATGAAGGTGGAGATTGTATGGCCTGTACTTATACCGCAGCCTTCTTTCCGAGTTAAGAAACTGTTTGACCGCGTTTTCACAATTTGATCGTGTTTTCAGAGGGACATCGATGAATGCACCTTGTTCGGAGCCTTGCACCATAGTGGCCATGGCAATTTCTAGAGTCGGACTATGGACTAGTTGTATTTCACGACGTTTCGTCTCTGGCGAGTTCTAGCTTTGTGCTAAAAATGACAAGGCTCACTGAGGATGCCAACTTTGAGGACACTTAACATTTGGAAATGCACCATGTCCAGGTACTAATATATCGCGAATGTGTTGCGCAAACGAAGTAAGGTTAACTTCAAATTCTTTATATATATCTTAAATTTCCTTATACAATTAGCACTATAGTCACACAAGTAATACGGGAGCAAGTCATTTATTTTTTCCTTTCTTCAAAATTGACATTTTAAAAGATTGAGGCACGAAAGAATATTTTATTTTCTACCTTAAATTCAGTTTCTTTGATCCCATAAACCTATAGTTTAAGTCATTTTATTCTTTTTAAAGTTTTCACTTGGTTTTATTGCTTTGGGCTCCTCCAACTTACTGGACGACCCCCTAATCCTGTCTCTCTCAGCATTTATACAACAAAGACCATGTTTTTCAGTCGCGCTAGTTTTCATATATACAAGGAAACGCTCGGCTTGAATGAATCCATTTATAAATTCATTGTCAAAAAACATTTGTTATTCAAAGTCCCATTTATTATACGTTTTTGTAGCATAAATGCTGAACTCCTGGCCACATGGCTAGTATAAGAAATAAAACAGAATGCTCTAAAGCACAATAATACTTAAACTCACTTACAATTCAAGGATAAGTCTGTGGGCGATGAAGAGATTTGAGGGACGATTACCAGAATGCGACGGCGGATACATCCTGGCCATTTGTCATCAGAGCATAGTTTTATTCGTGAAACCATTTTTAAGCTAGGCAGTCGAGGAAACTAGCCTGCTTATTCATAAATGCAATATATGTATATAAATTTTAAAGGGATACAAAGTTACTTTGTTAGTCTAAAAGGCATAGAAATATTGCATATATACAGCCCGTCAATCGTTTTGACTACTTAGTTTAATTACGGTTGTAAGAATGATGCTCTTGTCTAATGATGTCATGTATTCCACGGACATTTATATTATTCCTAATTAAATTGAAATTCCAGTCATTTAAATGTGGCAAACCTCTTAAGTAGACTAGAATCAGTAGTAGAAAACGTTTTCGATACCCCATCTCGCAGAACACAAAGCACAGTAATTATTACGAGGTATGATGGACATAAAAACAGCCCTGTATTCATATTTTCAGACTAGCCTAATCTGACGCACATTTCTGATATATCACTTCTCGTTTATTTCTTCCCTTCATTCTGTAGTTAACGAGGACAAGATAAACATATTGTTTAAAAATTAGGTGGAGGTGGTACCTTACGTAAAATGCTACGTTTTGGTCTGTCGTATGACAGACATCATCAAAGCAGGCTATCATTCGTAGAACCATATTAAAGCTAACTATTTTTCGTATTTAAGTAGATTTTCGAGACTACCAGTAAATCAGTAATATGAGATGCATTTACCCTATTTCGTTTAAGGTGATGGAAACGTCAGCTCTACTCATATCATTGTAGGAAAATTCTGCTACCAGTCCTTTATAACCTTAAACGAAACAGGGCGAATACATCTCATATAGCTAACTAGTCAAGAAAACTAACCGGCTTATCACCAAATTCTGTATATTATAGACCCTAAATCTAAGTAATTCGATAGGTTATAAAGAGATTTCCTGAGTGCAAAAAAACACAGATATAGTGTATATATACAGCAATGAGGGATTATCTGATGAGTTTTCTTGACTCGTTAGCTTGAACATGTTTATAGGAATGCTGCCTTTCTCTAATGATGTCCGACCTATGACAGCTGAAAACTTATCACTTTTTCACTGGGACTAAAGTAGCTTGCTTTGAGGATGGTCTTAACCATAATGTTTTAGTAAATCCAACTTATAGCCAGCAAAAAGGAATCCGCCGTCATCTTCAGATGGGATTGCTCTTAGAATCTCATTATCATACACTTTATCTTGAAATCGAAGTAAGCTCAATAATTATGAGCAAATGGAATTATCTAAATCCAACTTTTAATAGCACAAAATACAATACTTTCCAGCATGCGAAAGTTAGAAATTCAAGAGCAAGATTTGATAACTTATTGAAATAATAAAAAAGATGACATTCCCAATTAGAGAAAAAATTGCTTATTAAATGTGACCACCAATGATTGTTTGGAAGAGTTTGGGTTATGGCGATGGAGGAAGAAGAGGATGAGAGAGAAATGGAGCCATCTCCATGAAAGTATGAAGAATCACAAAGCAAGAAAGGAAGTCTTGATTTTGCTATGGTTATCATCCCTGATAGATAATGTGCATTTAAAACCCAATAGAGAGACTTTATTGACAATAAAAGAGCAAAAAATGCAAGATATTTCTATGGGTAAACTATTGTTTCGTTACAATCTCATCCACATCCACTCGAGTTGTCTACAAACGTGAATGGAAAGCATGAATTCTACAACTAAAATAATGAGATATCCAATTAGGAGGAAATGATTTTACACTACAAAGTAGTGGTTGGCGAAGCTTTGTAGAGAATAGCTTCATTCTCTGATACTACCTTTCACGAGGAAAGGGACGAAAACTTAACACGGACTCATTGGAATCGCAGATGGCTTTTACTGGCACATCGAAATCCCAAATGTTCAAAGGCAATATATGAATTTTTCTAGCCAGCTTTCCGAAGTAAAACCGAATAAATCGAAATAAAAGTCCAGTGGCACTAATCTTTAACCCTATTCTTGAGGTGCTGCCGTTTTAATTGCAGATGCACTATTTTTATGCATTTAGTGATCATATATGCGACTTTTCTCGACCTCCCAACAGGTTCCAGGACTTGCTTCTTTAACAACCTCAGGTAAGGTAAGGACTGCATCTGGCTGGCTAGTTGGGGTCATGCTGTTGCCATTTCATATTTATTTTCACATCTTTTTCTTCACCCTCTCAGGTCTCATGTTCTCTTTCGACTCGGTTGTGCAATGCTTTGCTGCAATGTTGAGCGCCCCAGCCCTGCCCTCGATCTTTTCAGCTACCGTAACCCTGTCTCCTGGCCTCGTATTCCTCTTCATTGCCGGTATCCAGTTCATATGTGCTGTGATCATTCTGTAAATGGCCCAAGAACTAACTAACTAACAGGAAGCCAAACATTTATTTTCTGTATATTCACAAAAGGGTATGCAGATTCCTTTTCACTTGACTCTAACCCGATGTTTGCATGGATTATTGCCTTCTATTTGATGAGCTATATTTAGCTATTGCTAAAAACAGGTCGGCAGTTCTTGTCCACATAGATGCTTCCAAATGAGCAAAACTCCTTAAAAAAGATTTAACTAAAGAAAAGGTCCGAATACTCCACAAAAGAAGGCATAACTAATGACACCATTACTCCTTTCCCATTAATTCTCCTAACGAGATCCCGTTTGACTCCAAGTTTGGCCAATGACGGTAGAGCTTAATTAGACGTTCGCCCAATCTAACGACTCCTTTTGCTTTTTGGCGACATAGCAAAGAGGGTTTAGAAAATTTGCTTGGTTTCATGGCATAATTGACTACTTGTTA